ATCGCTGAGCTGGACGCCCCGCAGGTGCAGGGGCAGGGCCAGGGCCAGGGCCAGGGCCAGGGCCAGAGGACACCGCTTCCTCTCCGGGAAGCCAACGCCGCTGAAGCCCTAGAGCGCAGCGGGTCCCTTGTCCCAGTCTCCGCGTCTGTGGGCGACCCGGCAGCCACAGTCGGGACTGCTGGGGCCAAGCCAGACTTCTCGTTTGATTTTAGTGGTGACGCTTAACCCGCTGGACAAGCAGCACAAACTCTCGTACTTTTTAAAACTTGTATTTGCGGAGCGAAATACAACAGCTAGACTCGAGGGGTACACGGATGCGAGGTGTCAGCGTAGCTACGTCGCGTTTCCTATTCGGAATACCGCGCTCTGCCCCGCCAGCTCCTCTTTGCTTCTGGCATTGGAAAACAGGCAAATTCTCCTCCACGAAGCTGTTCTGCAGCGGTTGTCCTGAAGACAGTCAGCTTAAGCAGTTATATTTTCTGTCTTCTGCTGGTCAAGGCAAATGGCCAAGGCCAGGATTTTCGGGGATGCTGAAAGGCCAGCACGTCAGTTTCCATGCCTTGCTCTCTGCTGGGCTGTTTCCACCACTTGGGGCACCAGTCGCTTCACGGGGCACGCTGATAAAAGGCATCAGGATCTGACCGCTTGCTCTTGGTCTCTTGCCTGCTCTGCCAGGATGATGAGTTGTGTCCAAGGTTGCATTTACTTTCTCATCGTCTGGGCTGCTTTTATGTATTTATTTATTTATTTTGCTATAGGGCTTGTGCGCTTGCCAGACAGACAGAGACAGAGAGATAGAAAGCGAGAAATCGACCCCCAGGGGTGTTGGCCACGCCAATCCTTTCTCCTCCATTCTCCTCTTGGGATCTTCGGCATGCACGCACACACGCCCGGCGTGAGTTTAAACCTACCGGGTTGGGGTCGCAAACCGTGATCGACTGACTACATGTGAGTCCAGCAACATAGCCATTACACTAACTGCTGGTCCCTCCTCTGGGCTTCTGAGGGCTGGTTTTCTATTCTCATTTTGGAACATAGCTTGACAAGGAATTGGATGAAAGGGTGGACAGTTTACATTTCATCTTCCTTTGCTTTTGTTTAATCTCCCTCTTTGGTGGTGGTCAGGAAGGTGCATGTGAGGATGAAACTAAGGGAGGAAATTAGAAACAGCAAGAAGTGGAGAGTGGAAAATTCAGGGAAGCCATACAGTTTTCATATTAATGGAAAACGAGAACATAAAATAAACTACACACCTCTGTAGGGACATGTTGGGAGAGAGGCCCTGAGGATGTGGGGACGTGCTCTGAGCAACCGCCACCTGTCCCTTTGGGCTATGGCAGAACCTTGCAGCTTGTCCTTTCCTTGAGCAAAGGGTGGAATTTTCTAGGGGCCTCCCAACAGATACATCTGATGGAATTCAGGAACATCCAGACCCCAATTAGCAAAGCCCATCACCTGCTCTGCCTCTGAGATTCTAGAGCCTTATCAACACTCCTTTGATGTTTTAAGAAAGTATCCTCCCCACACCTGCAGCTGGGCCGCTCTCCACTAGATAAGAAGGTTATTGGGATTTCTCTTTGACATGGAGGTAGCCAAGAGATAGGCCTGGCCCAGTACGTCTAAGCCCTTGTAGATTTGCTACCTGCCTCTTCCTGTCTGTAACATGTCAGCGTATCTATGGAATGTCATGAAATACATGTATGTAGTGTCACTTTGCCCAGCCTGTAAATAAAGGCACCCAGTTTGGGCAGCCTAAGTTGCTTGGGCTCCCTAGGCTCAGGCCTCCTGTGTCCATCGCTACTCTGTCTCTTTGTCTCTTTCTTTCTGCTTCCTCTTAGATGGAGCTACGTCCGAGGCAGATGCTGACAGATTGATGCTAAAAACCTGGGCCCTAGACACCCCAATTTCTGGATAACTTGGCTACTGGATGATCCCTGCATCCTGTCTCCCACCGTTCTCGGCTACTTCCGGAGGTAAGTGAAGGGCTGGGCGGTCTCTGTCCCTGGCGGCTTGGCTCTGGCTTTCTGTATTCTATCACTGCTTCTGCTTTCACTCCCCTAGAAATTCAGCTATTACATAGAAGGCTACGTAGTAAGGAGGTATGTTCCCTTGTGTAAAGGTCTTGGGCGTAAAAACAGACTTAAAATTCTGTGAGCCACACTGGGCAATAGAAATGTTATGCCATTGTTGGGTGCATGGTATTACTTTTTTCTCCCGTGAAATACACCCTTCTGGACTGTACTGTGAAGATTTCGCCAAAGGATTGCTCCGTATCCTTGTGGTTTTACATCAGCTGCCATTTCGCTGCCAGAACACTAGAGATGAAGACGGACAGTCGCCACCTTATTGCGCTTGCTTTGTGCCAGGATTACAGAGCCCTGTTCAGTGGAAGGCCTGTGAGTTCTTCAACTCCTGAGCACTTTTAAAGTCCTTTCTCTTTACGAGATAGCTCTGCAGCAGCTATGTTGGTGCCTGATCCCAACAGCCACAGACAAGATCTGTGCTTTTCACAGCTGGAGGCGAGCAACGTAGTTATTTTTCAGACAGTCTCCATGCTAATTTCTTTCTTTCTTTTTTTTCTTTGAAAGGTTTTTGCTACAAGGCGCTTGCGCTCAACAGAAGGACTGAGACAGATAAACAGAAAGCGAGAAATCACCTCCCAGAGGGGATGGCCACGCTGCAATCCCTTCTTCTTCGTTCTCCTCTCAGGATCTTGGGCATGCATGCACACGCGCCCGACATGAGTTTAAGCCACCAGGTCCGGGACTTGAACCATGGTTGACTACATGGGAGTCCAGTGACGTAGCCATTACGCTAACTGCTGGTCCCCTCATGCAGCATTTCTCAAGAAGCCTACTGATTGATTCTGGCCCGGAGAAGGCTATGGCACCGTTCATCTCTATGGAGATCCCAGGAGTCAGCGTGGGTAACAGGCTATCTCTCACTGGCCCTGCTCACAAGGAAGAGCTCTTGTATTTATTAAGTCAGGCTAATCACTCAGTACATCCAAAACCATTTCCCAAGTGTTAATGGAAATTGATCATTATTGTCCTTGGTACCTGGAAGTCAGATCCTTGAAATGAACTGATTGGGGAAAAAATTGGTGTCTGCTTATGCCGCGTGCTCCTATAAAAATATTCCATACCTGGCATCAATGCAGCAATGCCATACTTCAATTTGGAAAACCTGATAACCTTGAACTCCCTCTGAAAGAGCTCTTAGCAGCTAGTGCAGAGACCACACCTAATCCAACTGCCCCGCCTGGCTCCTTCTACTTCCCCTCCCCTGTTCAAGGTTTTATCTAAAGAACTTCCAGGAAAAAACTGCCCCTGGGGATGTTTTGCAGGAATGTCTAAGCAGCAATTTACAAGAAGGGGACACCTCTATGCTTTCTGTCTGTCCTGTTATAAGCAAAAGGGGACAAACCACACAGGAATGTTTACCCTATAGTATACTTAAGGAATTTAGACAAGCTATCAATGAATATGAAACCAGTGGTCATTACATTACAGGGATGATAGGCAACACAGCCACAAGCTATGAGCTTACAATCAATGACTCGAAAGTGTTGGTAAAAATTGTAACTACTCCTGTCCAATATACAGTTTGGAGACAAGAGTTCGAAGACGGATGCCATCAGATGGCTGCCGATAATGTAATAAGAAACCCAGAAGTGACTGCTGAAATGTTGTCAGGGACTGGCAATTATGCTACTAATGAGCAACGGTCCCACTTGCCACCAGAAGTCTTTGGGCAAATAGACACCTTGCCACTCATGCATGGAGGAAAATACCTGATTCTTCTGGGGGTTGCCTTTCTTTTGTTAAGATGCATCCAGGGCCACGAGAAACCTATGACTTATTTATAGACAGGTTGCAAAGATCTTCGTACCGGCAAATAGAGAATGCAGATGCAGCTGAGGCACTGTCAAAGCAACTGGCCTTTGCCAATGCTAACTTTGACTGTCAGCGGGTAGGTAGTAAAAGGTATTTAAGGCAAGCCCGCCACCTCTTTAGCAGACGTGATAAAGTCGTGTCAGATAGTAGGTACTAAAAGCCAGGAATCAGGAGTGTTGACTGCAGTATTGAGACCTCCAAATAAAACAATACTGTCGATGTGGAAAAGAGGGACATGTTATCAAGGATTGTAAGGAAAAACAAAGGGAACCTTCGTCAAAATGTAAACGCTGTGGTGAAGGCTTTCATTGGACTAGCCAGTGCGGCTCTTCTACTGATGTGTCCGGAAACCCAGTACTGGGCATGCCTCCAGCCCAAGACCCAAGGAGGCATCACTCTGGTCCCAATCCAACTCAGGTACTGAGGAGACATTTATGACTCCATTCATGCTATACCTGGGAGTGCTGGCATTGATTTAAGTGCCCAAGAGGATGTTTCTTTAAGCTTACCAGGAGAGGTCTCCCTAGTAAATAGTCAGTTATCAGGACTTTGAAGAATGGACATGCTTAGAACTTAAAACACAAGACAGCCTCTGGTGACCTTGCAGCCCTGTCGCCATAGCAACGTAGCAACTCCTAGTGACCTTGGAGCCCTACTAACAGCCTACCCTGAGTTAATCCTTTCTCATCCCTAGGGTGCTGGGAGCTTTTTGTTCATGGTCAATTGCTTTGTTTAATGTCTTTTAAAAGGATTTTTTCCCAATAATTAACATCTGAAACTGTTATCAAGAACGATGTTTTGTTCTACATTGGGAAATTTGTTAAACAGTTTTTATTTGTTTATAAAAATACATATCTATAAGCTGCTGATATGTACAGTGACTCAAAAATTCTGATAGATATGTTAAGTCTTACAGATGAAGTTACAAGCTAAAGGGTATCAGATTTCCCGGGCTAGGCAAAAGAACAAGAGATAGGCTTTGGCAAGCCTTGGCATAATGGCAATGTTGCTGGACTCCCATGTAGTTAACCTTGGTTCTAGTCCCAGACCCGGTGGCTTAAACTCATGCAGGGTGCATGTGCGTGCGTGCCCAAGATCCCAAGAGGAGAATGGAGGAGAAGGGATTGTGGTATGGCCATCCCCCCTGGGGGATGATGTCTCTCATTCTGTCTCTCTGTCTTTCTGGCGAGCAAAAACCTCTCAAAAAAGCAAAAACAAAACAAAACAAAAGTGACAAACAAAATACACAGCTTATCTAATTAAGCAGAAGTAACAAGTTCTCCAAAGACTTTTTTTTTGAGAGGTTTTTCGCTATAGGGCGCGTGCACTTGCCAGACAGACGGAGAGAGACAGACAGAAAGCGAGAAATCACCCCCCCAGGGGGATGGCCATGCCACAATCCCTTTTCCTCCATTCTCCTCTCAGGATCTTGGGCATGCACGCACACGTGCCTGGCGTGAGTTTAAACCACTGGGTCCGGGACTCAAACCGCGGTTGACTACGTGGGAGTCCCGCGACATAGCCATTACGCTAACTGCTGGTCCCCTCCAAAGACATATTTATAAAGAAAAAAAAAACAAGGTCGGAAAAAAACAGTAAGTATTAAAGAGATGTGGAAAAAAGATACAAATGTAATGATGTATTCTTCATGGTGAAGGCTTGAGTCACATCGAAGAAAGTCTGAAAGGGAATTGTAAAGAATAAAAATATTTCATGAAAAGATGTATATATGACAGATGACATCTGAGGTGGCCATAAAACAATGGGCCACCCTATTCGGTGAAATATAATGAGACACCTAATTTACTAGTTTAGAGTTTGTTGATAAAAACAAACCTTCTCGGGAACCAGCAGTTAGCGTAATGGCTATGTCGCTGGATTCCCACGTAGTCGACCGCGGTTCGCGTACCAGACCTGGTGGCTTAAAACTCACACCGGGCGCGTGTACGTGCGTGCCCATGATCCCGAGAGGAGAATGGAGGAGAAGGGATTGCGGTGTGACCATCCCCCCCGGGGGGGGATTTCTCACTTTCTGTCTCTATGTCTCTCTCTGTCTGTCTGGCGAGCGCACGCGCCCTATAGCGAAAATCTCTCCAAAAAAAAAAAAAACCCTTCTCTCTCTCTCTTTCTCTCTCTCTCTCTCTATTTTTTTGGGGGGGGAGGGGAGAGGATTTTGCTCCTAGTGTTTTTGGTTAAGTTTTCTTCTTTTTGAGAGGTTTTTGCTGTAAGGCACATGCACTCACATGGAGAGCAAGACAGAAAGACAGAAAGCAAGAAATCACCCCTCCAGGGGGGACGGCCATGCCGCAATCCCTTCTCCTCCATTCTCCTCTCAGGATCTTGGGCACACACACACACGCACCCGGTATGAGTTTAAGCTACCAGGTCTGGGACTCGAACCATGGTCAAGTACATGGGAGTCCAACAACATAGCCATTACGCCAACTGCTGGTCCCTACTTGGTTTAATCTATAAGATTTATAGTACTATAGAGTGGAGAGAGTTTCACTCTACAGAAAAGAGTTCGAGGAGAAACTGAGACCTTAGCATTGGGCACAATATTTAATGTTAGTCTAAGTATGGGGTTAAGAAAATAAAAAACAGTATTATATAATTTATTAAATAATTTGGAAACATCTGAGACATTAAAATAAACTAGATAAGTGCATTTGGGATTGCTGATCATGGAAAGATGTGAACTTTCTCCAACCAAGAATGGTTAAACTTGTTTTATGTGGAAAAGTACTGTGATTAACATGCACCATAAAAAATAAGGTTTTGATTATGTAAAAATTACAACTATCACTTTTATATATCATTAAGATTTCTGTGTATATTTTAGACAAATTTATATATCTGCTGTACAAGTTTTCTTTTATTAGGCTCTAAAGTTTGTTGGGAAAGCTCTGTATGAAGGGAAAATGTAGAATATTAAAAATCTTCCAGAGTGTTCTATTGAGTTTTATTGCCCTCTTCTGCTGTTGAATTTTTATCAACTTTTTTTTTTTTTTTCAAAATGCTGGGAAGATCATTAGACAAATTTTGTGTCTTATGCTGTAATGTTTTTTTTTTCTTTTTTTTGGGAGAGGTTTTGCTATAGGGCGCATGTGCTCACCAGACAGACAGAGAGAGACAGAGAGACAGAAAGCGAGAAATTGCCCCTTAGGGGGTATGGCCACACCGCAATCCCTTCTCCTCCATTCTCCTCTCAGGATCTTGGGCACGCACGCACACGCACCCAGCGTGAGTTTTAAGTCATCAGGTCCAGGACGCAAACCGTAGTCGACTACATGGGAGTCCAGCGACATAGCCATTACGCTAACTGCTGTTCCCAGCTGTAATGTTTCTAAACACTCATATGTCAGTGTTTGTATTCGACCCAAGTTTCATTAACATACTAAAAAGGAATGAAATATTTATTCATTAAAGTCATGAGCCATTCATGTGTTAAAAGAAAGTGAACAATAAAGATTCTTAATATCCAAAACTCCAAATGTGCTAACATTTTTTTTCTTGAGAGATTTTTTCTATAGAGCCCATGTACTCACCTGAAACACAGACTGATGGAGAAAAAGAAAGTGAGAAATCACACCCTCCTCAGGGAAGATGACCACACCACAATCCCTTCTCCTCCATTCTCCTCTCCAGATTTTGGGGATGCACATATACATGCTTGGCGTTGAGTTTTAAGTTGCCAGGTTCGGGACTTGGACCATGGTTGAGCCATGGGGCATTCCAGCACCATAACCATAATACCACCCGCTGGCTCCAA